GCAGCAAGCCGCGGGGAAGATGTTGACCCAACCTGCGGACGAGCCTTGGGCCATTTTATGCGCCGACTTCATCGGGCCGCTGCCGCGATCAAAACACGGCAACACGATGATACTCGTTTTTCATGACAAATTCCCTAAATGGGTAGAGATTGTACCACTCCGGAAAGCGACGACAGAGAGCCTGAGTAAGTCGTTTCGGGAACGAATCCTCGCGCGATTCGGTGTTCCGAAAATCCTGGTGACGGATAACGGAGCGCAATTCACCAGTCGAGCATTCAAGCGGTTCCTCGAGCAATATGGGGTGAAGCATCAATTCACTGCTCCGTATACCCCACAGGAAAACCCGACAGAGAGAACGAACCGTAACGTAAAACGGATCATCGCACATTTAACAGGCGGGCAACAACGGAACTGGACTACCTGTTACCCGAAAAATGCTAGAACTGAATACTAGCATCTGCGAATCCACCGTCGACAGTCCGGCATTCCTGACACAAGGACGCGAGCCGAGACTCCCAAGGGCAGTCTACGATGAGACCACGTTCGGCACAGGGCAGAACTCGACGACGCCAAACGAGAAGGCCACAACACTAAAGGAAGTATTCAGTCTGGTGCGCCAAAACCAACAGCGGGCATCAGCGGAACAAGCACGGCACTATAACCTACGGAGGAGGCAATGGAGACCAGCTATAGGCGATCTGGTGCTACTCAGAGAGCACCCTCAATCGAAGGCAGTAGAAAACTTTGCGGCAAAGTTGGCCCCGAAATATAGCGAGGACAGCCCACATAAGCGAAGTAAAGGCTTTTCTCGAGAGGGGAGACGAACCTCCCGGAAGCAGCAAACAACCCCGCCAGCGAAAATACGAAGCACCGAAAAGAAGGCACCGAGATGAAGGAAGGAAATTCAAGAGAAACGCGGAAAATAAGGAGAAAACAAATGATTTGAAAAGAAGGGAAAAATTTTTTTAAGTCTTAGGAATTTTTGTTTCTAAAAATCAAAACCAAAATAAAAATTTTGAAGAAAATTTTATGAAGCAAATGCTAAAAGCTCTTTAGGGAAAAAATGGTACGGATTGTTGTAGTTGTAGTTGTGAAATGAAGTTTTGAAGAAAAATGTTAATTTTAAGAAATTTTTATAAACTTTTGATTTAAAAAAATATATATATATTGAGGAAAATTTTTATGAGGAAAATTTGTAACAAAAAAAAATTTAAGAATATTTGAAAATATTATAAAGTGAAACTTTTTAAGAAAATATAACTTTCAAAGAAAAAAACGGAGGGAAAAAAATGTTACGAACAATTTGCAAGCGAAAAAAAAAACAAAAAAAAAATAAACAAAAAAAAATAAATAAAAATAAAAAAAAAAGCTAATGGCATAAATTTTTTTTTCCAACTCTTGGTCACTGTACCTAACCATTTAGATGCAAATCCACACAGCATATGCAATACAGGCAACGGCAAAGCGGCGTGACCCAGCTGCGTAAACAAACATGCGTGGAAATGAACGCATAAAAACCCACCAAACACAACAGCGACATACATTAAACGTACATACACACCAACGCACAAACAAAGGCACAGCATCAGCAATCCAGGCAACGGCAAAGTGGCGTGAACAAGATACCGTCGGCATATGTATATACATGCATACCTATATGCACCAGCACGAAAACAAAGGCACAGGGCCCAACACTGCGGGCAAAAGCAAGGTGGTGCGATCAGGCGCGCAAACGAATTAGCACGCCGCCTACGCAAAATGCATTAGAACAAACATGGGGCGACATATGTACATGCATACACCGAAAGAAAAGTCTCAAGTAAAACTAACATTTCTGTATTATCAATTTTACATTTCGCCAAATATTGTCATATTAACATTGAAAATGATCAAAACAACAGGTTTCACGTTTAATTGGTATGAAAACTGTTAAATCAACATTGGCATGTATTACGTTGTCATATCGATTTCTCATGTTAATATTACAGCAGAGAAAAGTCTCATGTAAATTTAACATTTCTGCTTTATCAATTTTACATACCGCCAAAAAATGTCATATTAACATTGAAAATGATCAAAACAATAGGTTTCACGTGAAATTGATATGAAAAATTGAAATTGTTTTTAGTCGTTTTAAAGTGCAAACTTTGAGAATATTTAATAAAAAACAACTCAGAAAGTTAATAGAGATTGTGAAAATGAGTGATAATTCTTTATTATTTGGCGAAAATGTTTCGCTGACTATGAATGACGCAGGACAGCATATCGTTCTGGAAGCAACGCCTGTAGAAGTTGGTGGAAATGGAGAAATCATAACGAAATCTGCTCAGTATGCAATATTAAGTGGAAATTTAGAACAGGTAAGAAATGATTTTCTATAATAGACATGTTTTTTACACGTATGTATAACTTAAAGCTGCAACAACATTGACTGATCATAATACTATGATGTAGTTTTCCTAGATTGTCCAAACTCAATCAGGAGGAGATCAGCGATTAAAAGACTTATTAAAAGAGATGAATATAGAAGCCGCCTACGACAAGTTTTATGGTAATTGTTTTATTTTTTAATAAAAATCTTTCATAATGGATAATGTTTTTACTGACCCATCTAAAGCTCCTGGAATCACATATGAATGGCTGAAGTACATAAACTGTGACAACTTGGCGTTGGTATTTCCAGGGAACGAAAATATCGGTTATAGAGCAGAACTAAGGAAAAAAATTAGGCTTTGGAAGCACAATAACGTAATATATTTATTTATAAAGTTGTAACTACTATAATCTGTTTAAATATTAACGATTTTCTTTTTAGTTTCCAGAAGAATATGTTTCGACTCTAAGTATGAACTCAAATATCAAAAATTGGATTGAAACTCAATCTCTTGACTCGCCAGCTACCAATTCCACTTCGTCTGAAGTCACGGTAACGGTTGACATGACACGGTTTACATGTAACGGTAACGTATTGGAATGATTAATAGCAGCTCATTTGATATAAATATTTAATTAAGTTAGACTCTTTAATAAAATCCCATAATGAAAAGTATTTGGAATTGTTTCACAAGCCCCTTAAACCTAAATTTCACTTTTTAAATCATTATGTGCGTGTCATAAAACAATCAGGCCCTCTTAAATACTTATGGACTTTTCGATTCGAATCTAAGCACAAGGAAGCAAAAATGTATGCAAGAAGTATTACTTCCAGAAAAAATATAACCTATAGTCTAAGCATGAAAGCATCTTTAAAGTTTACAATATTTATAAGGGTCCATAATGATGGGTTTCCTAACCAAACGCAATATGAACAAACTGAGCATTTTCGGATTAAAGATTGTAGGTATTTTAACAATATCGTGAATTTTCGAGATTTTGAATCTTTGTTCGCAAATAATTTAAAAGTTAAATCAGTAAACTTTAAGGGAACGACGTATAAAAAGGGCCACTTTTTAACAATAACTACTGACGAAGTCATTGAACTATATGAAATAAAATAAATACTTATAAGTTTAAATAAGGGGGCTTACTTTCTAGCCCACAAATATGAAATTATTGGTTTCTTAGAGCACTATCAATCGTACAAAGTTGGTTGTATAAACAATGTTATTGAATTAAAAAATGTTGAGTTTTTCACAAGCCCACCTATTCATTTGTACTACATTTACGAAGGAACTCCTGTTATAAGAAATAAGAATTTTTAGTACCTGTTTATTCATATTAAAAATATGTAAATATATGCCTATTTATTTAAAAAAAATTAATAAATTTATTGAAAATAATTTCAATTTGATGAGATTTTCATTTCAAATCATAATTATTTAAATTTTCTTTTAACGTTACCCTCACGTAAGTATCATTTGAAATTAACATTTTTTAAATGTAGTTTTAACGTTACTGTCACGTAAGTATCATTTCAAATTAACAATTTTTGAATGTAGTTTTAACGTTACTGTCACGTAAGTATTACATAAATATCATGTTAATTATACATGAGTATCATATCAATAATACATGATAGCCATGTTAATTTTACGTGTTTCATGTACATAAATTTCACGTAAAAATGATAGTATCGAAATGTTAAAATTAACATTTTTTCATTTCAGTTGCAAATTGTAAACAAAAAATGTTAACTTTACGGCGGTTTTTAGTATTTTTTTGGTTCAGCGTATATACCTACGGCGACACCTCCAACAAGAACGAAGGCCAGGAACCAAACAGTCGTTCCGAAGAAACGCAGAAGGGCGTTGGTACCGCATTCGCATTTCCCGAAATGGAGACGTGACGGTAACAAACGCCTCTCCGAAGTAGAGGGGGGGGAGGGGGTGTGAGGACCCCAATCCTAGGGCTTGGAGCCCCCACAACTTTCATATACATATACATATACATATANGGGGGGGTGTGAGGACCCCAATCCTGGGCTTGCACTATGGGAAATTTGACCCTATTTTGTGGCCATAATTCTAAAAGTTGAGATATCAATTTAAAACTTGGCCCAGTAGTAGGACTAGAAGTAGTGGCCTTGCCGCGCAAAAATTAACCCGTAATGGTCACACCTCCAAAAAATAGCGTAATGGTCACACGGGATCCAGTGGACAACAACCCAATAAACAGATGCCTCGTACATTCTATTGTGGCGAATACTGCGGCAACACAAAGCGAACAACGAGAAATAGGCAGAATGTTCGAGGAATGACGTAGAATGTTCCGCAAAGAGAAACGTCAAGTTGGATGAACACTGCGAACAGCGAGAGAAAGAGAATGAGCGATGAACTTCAGAACGTTCGAGAGTTGCCATGAGTGCGGGCGCAGGTATATAAGAGCCACGACACAGCGGAGTTGGAGAGTTACAAGTCAGCAAGCTAAAAGTAAAGTGAGCAGAGAAGTGAGTTGCGAATAAGCAAGCTATAAGTTTAATTGTGTTAACAAGTTTAATAAAGCGTTGTTATTGCTTTAGCAAGTATTGTTAAGTGTTTTTACTGTATTAGCGAGTATTGTAAATTGTTTGTTGTACAATAAAATTAATTATAATACAATTTGGTCATCGTTAGCATTTATTTAACAATCCAGCGATACGAACCGAAGCATTTGGGAAATCCGGATGAGTTTTCAAGGATAATCGCATGATTCAATAATACAAGGTTAGATAATTATTGACAGCCGCGGTTTGGCACTCCCTTACAAAAAGTTGCATTTACGAAGGACGTAGAAAGGGGAAGATGGAAATCTCTTGGTGCGAAAATGGTAGTAGAAAAGTACGCAATTAGTAGTGAAATTCCTTTTGTAAATTCTAACGTATTTGCAGGAAATCTGGCATTTTAACGAAATATTGAACGTAATATTGGTATATCTACGTGAATTACGTAATTTATGTCCTATTTAGCTGTATAAAAACTTAACATTAAGACTCAAAATTAAAATAAAACTACTATAAGATTGATGTAAAAATCCAATTTAAAAACAATTTATGTTTTTATCAGTTAAATATGCTTCATATGCATACACAAATAAGCATATTGCACAAAAGCGTATACTTCTATTTCACACCAAAGGTACACTTTTTCCAAGCAAATTTGCAAAGAAGCAACACGGTGCCACTGCTAAAGGAGCGGTGCGAGGGAGACAACTGTCAGTTTATCGAACCTTGTATTATTGAATCATGGGATAATCGTAGCACTATTTTAAATATCAACTCGAATCCTCCACTGACCTTAAGTTTAAAACTTTCTCTTTGTTATCTGACAGGTTTTTTTCCAACTTTTAAATTATAACATCGTGAATTATTTCATAAAACTCATGATTTTGTACCAAGTAGTTACCTAAGAAAAATTATAATTTCTTTAATATCGCACAAAATCACAGTATAAGATTATGGGGAAATAAGGGATCAGGGACTATTCTACCGATTTATGATGCGTTTTTTTTTAAACGTTTTTAAACATTTTTTTTAAACACTAAATAAGCTTTTTTAAGTTGTACAATTTCACTTTAGAGTCACTTAAATGCGGACGTTTCTTTGGCACAACCTTTAATCTATAATACGAGTTTTAATTGATAAATATTCTGCTAACCGTCACTCTTTCTTTCCACTTTTCACGTTTGAATAGCAGCAAATAGATTACGAGATACTCGCATTTGAAAGTGGCACAAAATCAAGCTACACATTTCTCGTTTACAGAAAATTTCGAAACTATCTGTTTGAGGGTTATCAAATCAACGGTAAGTCAATATATCGAAAAACAGAGTATACAGTTTTTTACTCTGAAGTATTCTCTGTAAGATAGGACAAAAAAAAATTTATTTCAAGCAAGTCAAGAAATTTACTTTTGGCCACAAAATAGGCTCAAATTTCCCATAGTGGCTTGGAGCCCCCACAACACTCATATATATATACACATAATTTTTGAATTGTACATAAAATATATAATTGTTAAGCAATACATGAATGAACAATGAATTGAAAACACATACTTTGAATTGCAGCCACATATTGTACAGCACTAAGGGCCGGGTACTCAATGTCCGGTTAACACTAATCTGCGGTTAAACGTCGTTATCGACGTCTTCGACTCCATGCATAAAACAGGGCGTCGGTAACGTCGATAACTATGTTTAACCGGAGATTAGTGTTAACCAGACATTGAGTAACCGGCCCTAAGTGATTTGAACTACCGTTATTATTCATATAATCATGTACATACAATTGTACATATACTTTAAGCACGATGGCAATAAAGAACAAGGCGCAAAGGACAACGGGACATACGCGACGCGACTGCGGCCGGCAATTTGTATATATAGCCGGCCAGCAATCAAAGCAGACAGGAGTCGTCAGACGACTGCTGCAGAGTCAGGAGCTTTTGCACACATAGGGTAGGTTCTACTCCCTATGTTAGGTATCAGGAGATGGGCAGGTTCTACTCCCACTCCTATAGAACTTAGCTAGGTATTTAGAGACGGACAAGTTCTACTCCCTCTCTTGGAAGGTTGTGGGTAGATTCTACTCCCGCTCCTTTACTATAGCCGTAATTATATTTGGTGGGACGGAGCTACGCCCACCAATCGGAGAGGAACAGGTAGGTTCTACTCCCGTCCTCTTAACGTACGACCAAGACAGACGAGTGCTTTGCTATAAACCGAAAAACGAACTCTTATTATTTTCGTTGGAAACCCGGCAGCCGATGAGCATACCCCAGCATAACCCGGAGTTCGTCACACCAACACCTACACGAATTTACTTGCTTTTCACACACGTTAGCATATGAACACCTTGAGTAAAATGCGAGAACAGGTTCTAATCATTTGCGCTGAAAAGACTAGAGGCAGGGAAGCCTAGGTCTCTTGTTGAAAAAAAAGAAGAAAAAGGGCCCCAAAACAAAGTGATCAAAAAAAATCTTAAGCAGGGATTTTTAAAGTTATAGCAGTCTGGTTATTTGGAAATTTTTTATTGAAATCATTCTCGATAAAAATTTCTAGACATCACCACTCTGTAGTCGTTAAACCAGATAATCGTAACTTATGACCAAAAAAATTAAATTTAACTTATTTAGTTCATACGGAATACCTTTATAGTCAAAAGTATCTATATGAGTAGGTATCGATACTTTAGATCCGATATTTTTCGGGTATCGATACTACTCCCAAGTAAAAGTATCGATACCTGCATGGTATCATTTCATTCCTAGTCTGGAACGCAACTATTGTCAAACATGTATGAGCGGCATACCATGAACGAAAGACACAAGATCACGTAAGAACAAGAGAGTGAAAAAAGTCGATTTTTTTAGCGGGTTCTACGCCATCTTGTTGCACTGGAAAACGAGCGAAAAGTAAACAAAGCAAAGAAAACGAAAACCAAAATTAGCCAAAATTATTGTGAGCCACTTTAAACGCACAATTTAGGTAAAATGATGCAACAAAATGCTTTAAAATGTGTTGTCATGTTGAATTAACTCTTCTTTACTTGAATAAAAGTGTAAAATAGTGGTGCTTGTGATGTAAACAAACGCTCAGCTGACGAACCCGCTTTCGCAAACTTTTTTCTCAAAACCAGTTACAAATACAACGTCGTGTTCTTACGTGATCTTGTATTTTTGGTTCATGCGGCATACTATGAACTGGCACTTGCATGATGTGACACCTGTCGCCACGGTTGCCACTCTGGTACAATTGTACCAAACATGGGCCTTTTTTCTCCGTTTGGACCTTTGGGCTTTTTTGGTTGTTTTGGGCCTTTCTGAAGCAACTATGGCTCTCCGCTCGTTTGGCGTTGGCTAGAGCTATCTTTTGTTTGAAATATGCAGCACTCGCTGCAGCTGTTCTGTTTGTCCTATTAATTGTTATCGCCATACTGCAGTGGCATTCTGACAAAAATTTCCAGAAAATTTTCGAGTGTGCAAGTCTCAAGTCGCTGAAAATTACAGTTGCTTTTTTAGAATTTTTTTTTATGGAGGGTGTTGCGCGTTTTCTTCTATATAACGCATAACCAAAACTATTTTTTATATGGAAGGAAACGCGCAACATCCTGCACAAAAAAAACTCTAAAGAATCAACGTTACTTTTTAGCGACTTGAAACTTGCACTTTGTTTACTAAAATTGAAAGGGGCTACAAAACTGCATGCTCAAAAATTATTAAAATTTTTATGAACTATATAAACTATGAAGCTTGATATATATGGATTATATTAAAGAATAAACTATATTTTCATAAATAACACAGGATTACAA